GTCACCGGGCCAAAACAAAAGATGTCACCATTCTACAACGATTCTAAGTACCACAAGCGTATAACCCAAAGAAAAATACTTCACTTTAGCGACTGTGCGAAGTTTGAAGTTTCGCCTCAGGTAACATCCTTTCAGGGTTGAAGATGAAGGGGCCATCACAGGTATTGAACTGTCTACTTGGCGGTAAGACTATGTGAGCCAAGGAAGTTCGTTTCCATTTAGCATTGATGAACACTTCATCTCCTGGCTTAAAACGGCAGTCTGATACCTATAAATGCACCAATCGAACTGCTGAAGTTCTTGACAGTGAATCATCTATCACCTGATGAAAGGCAGAGCGGCTAACCAAAGCTAGAATCCCCCTTGTTTCGTACAGCCCCCTAGTGAAAGGTAACGGGAACAGAGCTTCATACCCGGACATCGATTTCAAGGGAGAGGGAGTCGAGGAACCTTCGGATTACTTTTTCTTTAGCTTGAGGCTCTCGAGCCTCTAGGAATCCTTGTTGTGGATGTTGTGCTGTGACCGCCTGGACGCAAACACTTGTTAATCCCGCCCAACCCGGTTGAGAGCCTAGGGGGCATGCAACACAATCTTGAGGACCATTTGGTACGACCAAAATAGCAGACAGAACAAAACGTAAAGTTCACGTCATCCTCCTGCATCTGGCCAAGGCTTTCAATGACGCCCCATATAACAGTATACCGGCTAAGCCAACAGAACTGGGCGTCGCTGGACCATTGTTAGCTTGTTTTGGCATATAGCCAGGCAGTGAAGTGTACTGCACTAAGTTTAACAGAACTTGATCGCTGTAAATAAGCTCAGAGGTAGGAGTTTCTCAAGATTCCGTCATTGAGCCGCTCCTGGGTTTGCCATCTGTAAACGATCCCACTGTGAGAACCTTTCAGCCAGTTCTTCTGTTTACCAATGACTGTAAGTTAGAGAATTGTGTTACTATTGTCTGAAACTTTGCTAACCTTGTGTGAGTGCGCGCCAGTACCCAACTAATTAATGCCTTATCTGCGTATTAGTTCTGATAAGAAAACAAACATTAGAAAACACGTCATATGGTAAGAGGTACTCCTACAAACGGTCTATTTATCAGCCAGAGATAGGGCAGCTATATTAAGGGAAGACTACTAGCTTGCCTGCCCATTAATGGCCAGGCTAGATGATCTGGGCTAATTGCTGCCGGTCAGAGCAAAGGGGACATGAAAGTGGCGAATATTGATGGGCTGATGCTTGTAGGGTAAAACAAACCGAGACAACCCAAGTCACTCGTCGTTGTAGTAGTCGCGGTATTCTTGAACCTACGCTCATCTATCCCTCTCCTATCCCTCTCGAGAACCACCACTATTTACCACATGGCAGAGTGCAGACCGATCCATCGATTTAAGTGTCAGTGTTTAGATGTTTAACGGTTGTTCATAATGTCAGTTTTAGATGAATGCTGACACAGTAAGCCATAGCAGTATAGTGTCCGTTTCTTCTCATGGGTTCACAGTCATCACCAGTTACCTTGGACCTCCCATCTGGTAGACTCTGCACAGAATTTGCGGAAGTAAAGAATCACGTAGGCGGCTTACCGCAACCTATGTTGCTTGTAGATGAAAAAACCTATGACCGAAATGATAAAGTTTTTTAGGAAACCACGTTTTGAAGGAGAGTGTTCAGTTCCATGTGTTTTATAATTTAATATGCATTTCCGAACTTAGAAAGGGGAGAATTAACTCATCATTCGTCAACAACGTTTTTGTCTTGAAGTGTTGATTGGTGTTGTGGTTTAATAAGTGATATGAGTGCCGAAAATGGAACACATTAGCACCAGGTAAGAACTGTTGGTCCAATTATGTCATTTATCTTTGATACCTTTTTCTGGTAGCACTGCTGGACAGATTAGCTCACGAATTTTCGATTGACCTTTCGGCCGTGTGGTATGACCTACACTCCTGGAGTGATTTTCTCCGTGTGAAAGCATTTGTCTCACTCCTTGTGCTTGAAGCCAATCGTCCCGTTTTTATGAATAGTGCTGCATCGTGGGCGGGATATTGGGTTACGTATATATAGACTCGGGTCAACAAAGATACGCAGACAGTGTTCGTCTGTTCGGGGGTGAAACGTCCGATCCGCGCTGCCAGATTGTAGGTGGTTTGTGTATACCGGGCTCACAAATTAGAGGTTGAACAGTTGGGTGCAAGGTAATCCGGCAGAAAGAGTTGAGAAAGACAGCGGGGTTCGGACAATCACTGGTAGGGGCAGATATAACAGTAGCATTTTCAGCCACACGACCGAGTTTCTAGTTTGCATATATATTCGCTATTATGCACGGAATCCTTCCTTGATTTTTGACTGAAACTAAAGGTGTTGATGGTAAATACGGGCATGAATTACCATTAACTTATGTAAGTTAATTGGACCTCGAACCTTAGAGTCATCTGGTCTGTACATGGTGACCTTCAGCAGTTTACTGAAAAGCTAGATTCCTAAATCAGTTTCATTCTTATCCGCACCATGGTTGGCAGCGTTAACGTTTCACCTGTGGCCGATGGACTTACGCACATAAGAATGGCATAGAGTGATAAGCAGTACGAATCACATAACTGCGTAGGTCTGTGGAAATCGTAAATATATATCAATACTAAATCGCTGAATTTCAACTGATTTATGAACTGTCTCTGCGAGAACCTGACGGCACAGGGGTCCATTGCCAATTTTTCTTACGAGTACAAGACTGAGAAACAACATTATAGCCCAGCTAGATGGGAGTAGTGTGGTTGATGAATCTTGCAAAAACACCAATCGGATTCAACCTGCTTGCTAGAAGATAACGTGCGACCAACTCAACGTAACATGGCAACCTATGAAACGACGTGGATGCCTGGCCGTGTGCCCCTAGCTTAACCAGTCCGCTGAAACTTTAAGGTCAGCTTCAGTGTTCAGCCTCGTCAGAACATAGTGCAGCGATTTCGGGGTAGTCGCCTGACGTCAAGCTGACTACGCGATATCAACCAGTTTGTGTCAGTCAAGTAGAACAAGCAATAATAGTTTGAAAATTAACCAAGGTTTACATCTGATCATAAGGATGAACGAAGAGTCTTCGAAGGCAGTGTGATCGTGGGACTGCTAAGCAGTTGATTTGATGGGCAGCCCAGCGCAACGATGCATCACAACCGGGACTCAGTAGCATAGCGAGGTTCCAGGACTGTGACGCATATCAGGTGAACGTGAGGATTTTGTCATACCAATTGTCTGGGAAACTTTTGACAGTCGAAATGAGGGAACCTCCCGACTGCCACTCCATAAGACCCGTGGTCCAGCGGAATTTCGCCGTAGTGCCAACCGTGCCCATATGGAGTCCGTTCACACACTAACTCGAAGTAAGTCAAACCCCTAAGGAATGGAAGCGAGTTATACTTTCAGCAGTCTTAAAGAGAGGAGACCGACGAAACCCATGCAATTACTGGCCAATAGCGTTAGGTTCCATACTATTTGGGTACTGGAAAACTTGGTTGCAGACATTGTTTAGGACTACGCAAGCGGAAACGCCATCGTTTGTCTCACTCAACAAGGCCCCAAAATCGGACGGCCATGTGCCACAAGCTTGGTGACCGTTTGGGATGGTAAGACCGATGGATGGGACAGCAAGCAACCAGTCCGCGTTATCCTTCCGGGCTTGGTGAAATCCTCCAAAGGTGTCCAGCACTACACTATGTCCACTAAACTTATAAAGCTGGGCATCACTGGGCCAATCACAGCAGCGTTTAAAGAACATCTAGAGGACAGAGAATTATGTAAGAAAGTGCACTGAATTCGATCAGCCTGGGTGAGTCTAAGAACAGGGATTTCTAGAGGAGGAATCCTTGGGCCATTACTATTTTTACCACTCATCGATAGCCTCTCCGCTCACATCTCATCCGTCCTCCTATTTGCCGACGAGATCAAATCATGAGGGACAATAGGAAGAGAAGAGGAGCCTAGGATATCCCAGGACGATCTGCTGCAGCTGGAGTCCCGGTCAGCTTCAACCTGGAGAAATCCCAGGTGACGCATTTTCGCACACCGGAGGTGATGGAGGCCAGTCACACCTCCAGCAAAAATACGCAATCACCAGTTTATCAACAGGAGAGGACTCTAGACTAAACGTCTATGATACACTGGATGCTCGTGCCAACTACAGGGGCATGGCGACAAAGGCGAATGCCACTGTCCACTTTCTTCGAAGGTGGCTTGGAGGGCTAAGACTGAAGGTATTCCTGACGGTATTTGAAACCTACGCCGGAAAAATCCATAGGCATTCAGCACAATACCTCCCACCCAATACCAAAGAGAGAAGCGAGTACCTTCGCAAAGATTATTGGGAGGGTGAAAAGGTCGGTTTTCTGGGATACGTTGCAAGACACATGTGAAACGCATTAAACAACTCAGCGTGCTCACCTTAAGCTACTAAAGGAACTGAGGCGACCTAAAAGCAGCCCACAGGATGACTTACCAAGCGAGCCATCACAACAGGTTAGCATTATCGGTCAAAAGCCAGCAATTTTACCGGAACCCCACTCGCATATCCCACCACAGGGTAGAAATGTGAATGAGATCTATAACCGAGCAAACGGAACCAAGCTTGAAAACATAAAAACGAGAGCTGAAAACTACAAGTTTCCTACACTCGTAATTTTGATGTTGGATGTTAACAGTTTAAGGGCCATCTCCGTTTGGTAGTATTATGAACACTGTCGTTAGTATACAGCTTAGTGCTCAGGTGTGTCACTTGGTTCACTCACCTAAGTGTATCATACATAAATGAAGAGCCTCATGCAGTTGCAGAGTGAAAGGCAGATCTTCTTGATGCTCTTAGGCTTCGCACTAATGTTATGAAAAGTACTCGCTTTTTAGTACATGATCTGTCACAAGTATCCTCAAGTCTTCAGTGAAGAAGATGGCAGACAGTGATTATCACTATGAAGACCCAGTTGTCCCTTGAATACGACCTTGTGGTTTTTATAAACCTACTGTAGGTCATTCTCTTGCTGCGTAGAGCAGTGGTTGGTCCATGTTACTTCTGAAAGGATTTTTGGCAAGAAGCAACTTTTCCTCGTTGATGTGAGTTGGTAATCATACTTTTATGTTAAGAACACAGATGTCCTCATCGAAACAATGCAAATCGTGCAGTTATGTGCCGTCCTAATAGGCGAATATACGGACGAACATATCTAGTAAATCTAATATATCCCAATGGTGGCTTCATCCGTATCAGGTTTCATGAACCTCGAGTAATGCTTCAGGTTAGATTTTTGTGGTTTCCATGTATTTTTGTATATGCTAATACACCTTGTCGAATCCACAATCATGTGGCATTAATACTAAATGAGGCGTAAGTAGTAGGAGTGTTTTCCTACTGCTGCAACTGCTACTTACTGTACACAGAAAGAATATTGAAATACAGTTCAAGATGCATTGTGATCACGATCAAAATACCTCTCAACATCCCTCACTTTTTGTTGAATACCTTAGTGGGAATTCGGTGCCATTAGTCAGCCCAGGTGGTATCCACATTTCATATGAAGATTTAAATGTGGCTTATACTCTGTCCTGCCGGCTGTTTAGAGAGTACGTTCTTGACCGTATGCACACCACTAGCTTAGTCGACGATGGAGAGAATCATTTTACGTAAAAAATAGGACTTGGAATCTTGTCATATCTGTTCTTTTCTAGCTAGTCAGTACCACCATCTCCAGTGTGGAAAGCTTTCTGGAATTCAGAATGCCTGAAGTGAGCTGTGGGTAACCGCATCTACCCATCGGCATTTTTGGTGGGTTAGATTTCATTATGTAAAGATAAGCCGTGAGGTAAAACTAATGTACTGTGTGTGAATAGAATTGTAAAGGTATTAGTTAGACTTTATTTGTCGTTGCGCTCCTGTTGGCTGATAATGAGCAGCGTAGCTGCTGTTCAAGGATATTTGATTGGTTATTGGTCATTCTTTATTTCCACCCACTTTGGGTGTTGAAGAAACTGAAAAACTCCGAAGATTACCGAAACGATAGGGTTCCTCAGGTTCACTTTACCCTTTATTGGTTCAGAAATACCCTGAAGTCTATACCAGCTGGACTACAATCGAAAGTATAGGATTATTGTATGCATTTCTTGGTATAGAGTAACGAAAGCTACTTAAGAAGTAGTAGTATAGAAAAAGAATTTGTAGATATTGAATGTGAACAGTTAATATTTTCACCAAGTCATTCGCCGATAGTCTACACTGAAATAAGCAGATGGAAAAAATGAAATTTGATATTTGCGATATTGTTAGTACAAGGTTATTATTTGGACAGTTTGGTAGAAAGCCTTATCCATATCGAATGTACTCATTTGATATTGCACTCTAATACAGTATTATTTACCGAATGACGTTTGGAACATGAAATACTGCTTGAAGTATTTTTCAATTAAAAGTGGTGTCACTGTGTACTATATCGAACGGAAGTTCAACAGGCAACAAATATTTTCAGGTCTCGTTCTACAAAAATAAGTTTTGAAGTGTTCATTGATGGGATGCAAGTTTTGAAAGATTGAAGTCTTTTCTATTGTTTTTATCACTACATATTTTCAACCTAGTCTGGACTTTAATGTATCACCTTCTAAGGGTTGCGTTTAGCCAACATGATAACTCCTATCAGCTTAAAAATCTAGTGATAGGTTCAGTAGTGTTCGGATAATCGGTTTACGTCACTAACCTAGATGCATTAATTACAATTCTATAGCACAAGTGTTTGTGGAGTCTCATCAAATCAATTACTTCGACCACTGTTGAGGAATAGGACAAATAGGTTTATAGATAATATCAACATGGGACATGACATTACTGCTTAAAAATCCAAGTTGCCATACCTCATATTAGCACACCAAGCGAGAACACAGCAATATGGCAACCAAAATAAGGAAGAAAATAATCAAAAGCACTAGAAAGTCGTGAAGAGAGATCAAGGAGGAATGAGACAGTGTTGAGATTCACCATGGGGATCAAGATGAAGGTAATTTGTAGATGCATCTGCGCTATTACTACCGATTCCGAATTGTAACACCCAAAGTCTCCATCCACAGGTTTATGCTGTCACATCGACTCCAATCGCTGGTCAAACAAACAGACGCTTCGTGAACTGGTGCCATATGTTAGTCATGCTGCCTCTAACCTTTTTCCATCCTAAATGTAATATAGCATTATGCGAAGGAGCAGACAGTAACTAGGGACGCACAGCACATGTTCCAGACTCCTAAGTCGATGAAGATTCACAACCAGATCGACTGACTTTCTCCCCAAAACTCTACACCTGGCTTCCACGTTACTGACGTGGCAGCGCAGACAGACAAAGTCAACGTAGAACCCCATACTAGTGCATTGGTCCAAGTTGCCACACCACAATAGTATACAAGCAACATGTATATAGAAAAAGAGTGATATCAAAGTAGACAAAATTGTGTGGCACTACTGCAACATGGTGTATGGTACGAAGTCAACGGTGGTCGAGCACCTGAAGGCCGCTTCTCATGTCCTACACGCTCACTGGTCATTCTACACAGCCATGTCACAAAACTAAGTAAACTTTAGTACACGCAGCCCTTGTTAGACGGTCGAATATCATGACAGCGTGGGGTAAGTCGTCAAACGCCAATCGAGCCTTGATTATCCGTGCCGAGATTTCGTATGCGTACAAGCGCATTGTTTTTTTTAATGTTCTGATTATTAGTTCCGCACTTTGTATTGTATTGACAAGGCTTTAAAGTTAATATATTTGAGCTTATCAGATGGGAAGAATTCACCAATAACCAACTTGTATAAAATAATTCCTTTCTGAACCAACTTTATACGAGATAAAATAAGTAACTGTAAACACGTTTTGATGAAATATAGTTTATCAGTCAGTGCTCCGGAGTTGAATGATAATACTCAACCACTGCATTCATCTTAATGAAGATGAACGATACTGTGTTTCAGTTTCAGCTGCAAATGATGAAGTCGCCTTCGAAACTATGATCGTATGATTGAATGAGAATAGTGAATGTCACAACTACGCTGTAGTCATTTATTTTCGAAATACTGTTAAGGTTTCAGCTTCTGTTAAATTCTTACCTCTAGATTCCTGCTGATTTAGACCAGTGCTCACCGGAAGAAAAACAGAAGCGTTTCCTGAGACGTCATCCTCGATCAAAGCTAAGTTTGCAAGAACACCTAGAAGACACTTTTGATGAAGAATCCTACAGTTTCCTCCTAAAAAAGTAGTTTTCCTGACCTTTTGTACAAAAATCAATTTCAGTAATAAAAATATTTTGACTTTTTTCCTAATTCAGTCCGAAATACGAATTTTTTTCCATGCTCAATCTAAAGTTCACAACGGCTACGAGATATGATTTTAATGCATCTGTGCCATAAAGACTAACTTTTTTCAGCCTACCTGATATTCCTAAAATATGGCAGGCTTAAATGGCGCAAACATATATACTTGCTTGTCTGTTTTCCAATAGTTATTGCTCAGTTCGTAACATCGATTTGGGGTTACGTAATCTTTCCGTTAAATCATAATATTGTTTCTGATTTCGTTACATTAAGCAGTCTGTGTTGTAAACTTTTACGCATTTCGTGAAAGTGTATCAGTCAAGGTTTGAAGTTTCCTTTCAGATAGAAATATGAACTGCTAACATCAGATGTAAAGATGCACTTCACATCCTATTTCACCACGTTCAATTTTATTTATTACTGATCATTTACTTAAGGTAATTCACTAGTATCCGTAGCGTAGTATTGTGAATTGGACACTGACATATCACTCAACATATCGATTATTTGCTTCGGACTAAATTAGATGTGGTCGGTAAGTAATTTATCGTCAGCCCCAATAAATAACAAGAATGTGCTCAATATGCTATCTAATAGATATGAAATCCATCTGGTTTGCTCGTGTTTCTCGTCCTGAAGCTTTATCTGAAGGTTAGGTTACTGATTTTAGGATTTTAGAAACTGTGAAGCGTGTTAATTCTTGCAGTTGTGGATTTTTAAGCGTATTTTCTTATAGATTGGAGTGCTCAGTGATCAAGATATTCTAGAAGGAGTTATACTCAATTGTCACTGTCGCAACTTATACCTCTGTTAGTTTAAATAATTTTTGGCCATAAACCATTCGAAGGTAGACTATGAGAGTATTTGCATATCTTCATCTCCGGGTTTTTTAAGCTTTCTCACCTCTCGTCATTGCTGAGTATTTGGCCGCCTCATAGAGTGTACGTGAATAAATGGGACTTGAAGGGCAGAAAAACTTTAATTCAATAGATTTTTTTCATAGTGCATATTTGTATTTTGGACGTTGATCCTGAGCTATGTTCTATCTCTTCAGTATTATTTTTAACCCTGAACATTTTCGCTAACCCCGATTTTCAAATTACTTTTCCTTCCATCCACCTTTGTCTACTTTTATATCAGTCTTGTTCTACTAACTTGTTCTTTGCATCCTACTGTGAAGTAGGGCAATTTGGACCGATGCACTCCTTTGAGAAGTTCAACATTGGTTTTGTCTGTCTGTCTGACATAAACTAGTATTTCAGTTCCTATAACTCGAATAGGTTGGTACGAAAAGGAACCTTGACGTCTATATCAAGGTAAAAAGTTGGGTTACATCTCACGTTGATCTCAAAATATGTTAGTTGCATCTAACAGAAAGAGTATTCCTTGGACACTTTATTTTTGATGTTTTATTTAGGTAGACACTCTATGTTTTTTATTTTAGTGACGTGATAAGTTACCATGATGGGGAAAATAAGGAAGCCGGGACCGACTGAAGAAACTTTACGCGTTACCGCGATCTGACTTTAAAGTTATTTGTGACATATCTCTATTTTTAATGGAATAATGGTAGCAGCTATCGGTCGGGAATGGTAAGTGATAAAAACTGCCAACTCATAAGTTCAATCCCATTGTATGAAGGTCCACCAAAAGTGATGATGAAGTGTACTAGATCATCATCATTGATTAGTATACCTTTGTCAGATTCCTTTTGTTAACTGATCTAGTGGATGATATGTTTTCATTTTTGGCCGACACTGCTTGAATTCCAATGCAATATTCTTTGACAACACAAACCACTTACATCGACATCTCAATCGACTGGGTGATAAATAATCATGTTGCTGTTGCATTTTCGGAAGTTGATTTTGAACCTGTTTCAGAATTAGTGTAAACTAAGAGCGTTATAGTTGCAGCCGGATTATATAACTTTTGGAGGCATGGTGGAGAGATAAACTGAGTTGAATACAAATGACATATCTCTTATCTATTTCATAGTTAGCCTCTGGCTTACCACACAGTTTCATTCATTCAGTTGTCACTGACAATATGACATTTGGGAATTTTGAGTTACAGCCTAAGTTGCCACTTGGGCGAATAAAGATGATGGATTAAGAAATAGGAAAAGAAGTGTTATAAGAAGTCATGGAAAGCCATATGCATCGAACAGTGGTGAATGAAGCGAATAAAGAAATTTGATAGGACGATTAAAACTAAGATAATATGCTGATGCATCTGCACCACATCACTTAGAGTATGCAATCGTCGATTTTAGTTGTGACGTAGACCTTAACTGGGAGGCCTACATTTCCCCTCACGCCTCAGGCCAGCAGTCACAGACTTCATAGACTGATACTACGCTTTAGTTTAACCGCCTTTTACCATTTCCCAAAATAAACGTACATCGGATATTGCAGACAGTGACTAGGCATCCGTGACACTTCTGTCACCTAAAACTAAATCTGGGTTCTACGTTACTGACTTTGGCAGCACCATGACACATGGCTAGTGCTACGAAGGCAATGGTAATCAAATACCTGAGTGGTTCTTATGTACTCTATCTTGAATGATAATGTTTCACAACCATACAGTTAAAAAGGAGCTAAATGCGGTGCAATGCGTTAGACCCTGAATAGGTGACTGAATATCGCAGTGGTTGTATAAGTGGCGGAAGGCCAATCAAAACTTTTGTGTCTCTGCAGGAGTTTCATCAGTCGCTGACCCACCAGGACTGATTTGACATTCCAGGTAAGTGAAGTGGTTCAGTGCATGGACCACTTCACTTCGTATTGTTAGACAAGACACCACAGTGAAGACTAGTGTTGTGGTAACGACAGCATATGAGAAATGAAGAACGCATCCCGAAGTCGCGGGAGTTACAGACTAGGCAAATGATTCAGAATCGATTGCTGTGGCGCATAGGCATCCGTACACAATCTTCGTCTTAATCTTGATTCCAGGTTCCATTGTTTCTTTTGTCCTTCCTCCTTTCATGACTTTCTATTAATCTTGGATGCTTTCTTCTTTAATTCTTTGTTTCTCATCCTTGTGTGCTGATACGTAGTGTGGCAACTTGTACCGTTACTCAGTAACACCAGGTCGCCTTTTGATACTGGCTGGCTGACTCCCAGATAACCAGTAGTAGTGTCTAGAAAGCCCTTCATTCGTTAGCGTCTCCATTTTAAAGCGTGATGTCATTTGCATACTCTAGATATACTAAGGATGCTCTTCCACCAAAGTCAATTTCTGTTAAATCAGATATGAAGAGCGGAATCTCTCACATCTCTGACAACGTTGCGTAAAAATGGAGAGCGTGACGGACACTACAACATAGACTACTGGATCGGTACCTGGTCGTAGACTGTAGTACGAGCACAGAACCTTCAGTAGAGTGGTACAATTACTAGGCCTACTTGTCGGTGATAGACGCTACCATAAAACCTCTTGATATATGGAGTTGACTAATGCCTTCAGGTCAAGAGTTGCAGCTTGTGTCACGCACCGGAAAGTGTGTGTATTCCAAGGTCTGGCCTGCACATCCATAACCAGGTCTAAAACCTACCTGGTGTATCCGGGCTTGCAGTTCCTAGGTATCACTCAGGCATCTAATTATAAAACCCTAGATTCGTGGATACCATTTTCGTCGGATTGATTTCCTTGTGGTTACCACAAGAGGATTTCTCTCCCTTCTTGTAGACTGAGACAGTCAGTAACGACCATATTTGATTCTCACACACTAGCTAACATTTTATTTAACCTAACTAATATTAGTCAACCACTCCTTGAATTCCTTTGGTACTAGTCCATCAGGCATGTCTCTCTTCCTCGTTCCAGGTTACAGACGTCTTTCTCAACTCCTGTTCCATTCAGGATCCTAATAAACAGCGAAGAACGGGGTAGTAGCTAGAGGTTACTGGAACTGTTCATCAAAGTATCCCGCCCTTTGTTTCAGTTGTCTCATGGGAGTAACTCGGAGACATTTTCGTTATGGTCTCACCTATCCTCATCTTTATCGCCTCACTTTCTTTCATAGGTCCAAATAACTGTCATTTTCGCCTTCCGCATGCGTGTAGCCTTCGCTACTGATGGACAATGTGTAGACTCTTTGTCAGCGTCCATTTGAGTTGCTCCCACTAGTCGCTAACGTGGCTTGGAAATGTATTGGGCATGACGAGCCACCGCCTACCTCGACGTGCGATGCTAGGGGAAGTTGGATTAGGTTGGAAGTGGGTTCAGGGTAACCAGACCGAGACCTGGGATCAGTCAGTGAAGTCTCTTACTGTTGGTCTGATTTGTGTGGGGAGATGCAGCCTACCTGGCTGGGGTCGCCGAGATGATAGGAGTCAGGGGTTGAGAACTCTTGGTGACATGGTTGGGAATCGGTTACAATGGCGCAGATGTATTCACTCCTTAACATCTTCTGAAGCTTGAATATTCGCACTAACCTTTATTCTCAGGATATTTTCTTTCTCATACAGCATTATCTACTTTGAAATCACTCCTTTTCTATCTAGCTGTTCTTTGTATACTACTGGGAAGCGTACCAGCTTGAACCAATGCACTTGTGTGTGAGGTTCTACGTTGATTTTATCAGTCAGTCAGTACACAAGACCCAATCAAACATAACTTATCCTCCTAAACTCTGTCTCAGCCTTGTGGACTTGCTTGTGCAGGCAATAGCATTGGGTCGTAGAGGGATAAATGCTCTTCTCGATTGTATGCTAGTCGACAACTGTCTGTTTGCTGTTCGAGCCAGTGAATCTGTATGATCTAAGAAGGATAATAAGACCAACTGATGCAGATTCGTAATCTTAGCTTACACGCACATGGACTGCAATTCTGATGATGGAAAGAATGAATTCTATCAGAAGCTGTCAATTTTCCTGCAGAAAGAAAAACATTCAGATGTAGTCAATGGCGAAAATTCTCATCCTGATGCGAAATGAAATCTGTTGTAGAAACAGTAATGAAGACAGTTGATAATCTACTTTCAGAGGCTAGGAAACATCCATGATTCTTG